GTATATCTTTTTCCACCCATTTACTTTCAATCTATTTGTGTCTTTATATTTAAAGTGTGTCTATTGTAGGTAGCTTGGAGGTCTTGGTTTTTATTTATTCTGTCCATCTCTGCTTTTTAATTGAAATGTTTAGACCACCATTTAATGTTATTATTCATATGGCTGCATTTAAATTTATACTTTTATTATTGTTTTCCCTTTGTCCCCTTGTTTTATTCCTCTGGTTTCTCTCTTTGTCCCATTCTTCCCCTCTGCCCCCACCCCCACACTTTTGGGTATGTTTTAGTATTCCATTTTAATTCATCTCTGGGTGTGTGTTGGTTACATATCTTCATTTTTTTTTTAGTGGTTGCTGTAGGGATTACAATACACATCTAACTTTTCAGTCCAGTTGGAGTTAATATTGTATCACTTCCAGTAAAATGTAGAACCTTGTAAACCAATATGTCTCTTCACCCTCACCTCCACGCATTAAGCTTTATGTTTTACTTTTCCTGTGTAGTACATCCACACCTGTGGAAAACTTACCAAAAAATATAATTTTTATATAATAAAAATATATTTTATACATTTTGCTTTCAACAGTCATACATATACTACAGAATTTAAGAGAAAAAATTATCTTTTATGTTTATCCCCATATTTTAAAACTCTATTGCCCATCCTCCGTTCCTGAATTTCCAAGTTTACCTCTGGAATCATTTCTTTTCAGCCCAGAGAACTTTTGTTTAGCTTTTCTGTTATGGAAGACCTCTAGCAAGAAATCTTCCTCATTTTCTTTCATCTGAGTATGCCTTTATTTTGCTTGTGGTAGATGACCTTGAGTCAGTTGATCTTAAAATACAGGGATTATCTGGGTGGGCCTGATCTAATCAGGTGAGTCCTTTAAAAGCAGAGAAAGATCTCTCTCTGGTAGCAGAAGGGGAGACAGAGAATTTTGAAGCCTGAGAACCTGATGTGTGATTCCTGGCATCAAAGCTGGAGAGGTTCCCAGGGAAGGACGGTGAGCGGCTTCTGGGAGCAGGAAGCCTCAGATGCACAGAACTAAAATTTGCCAGCAACTTGAATGGACTTGGAAGTAGATTCCCTAGACCTCCAGAGAAGAGCCCATTCTGACTGACACCTTGATACTGGCCTCATAAGACCTTGAGCTGAGCCACCTGGAATGTCTGGCTACATATCTGTGAGCTAATACAAGAGTGTTTCAGTTATTTATTTTCCAATTTTTAAAAATTTTGGTGAAATGCACATACCATAAAATTTTTTCATGTGAACTATTTTTGAGTTACAGTTCAGTGGTACTACATGCATTCCCATTGTTGTGCAGCCATCGCCACCATCCATCTCCAGAGTTCTTTCCATCTCCCAAACTAAAACTCTGTTCCCATCAAACACCCCCCATTCCCCCTTCCTCAGTGCCCGGCCCCCACCATCCTGTCTCTGAGTTTGGGTGACTCCAGAGACCTCACATCAGTGGACTCCCGCAGCATTGGTCTTTCGTGACTGGCTCATTGCATAGCGTCCTCAAGGTTCACTCATGCTGTAGCAGGTGTGGGGATTTCTTCCCTTAAGACCCAGTAACATTCTGTTGTATGGATAGGCCAGCCCCCCGTTTGCTTCCTCCTTTGGGCTGTTGTGAATGATGCTACGTACATGAGTGTGCAAATATCTCTTCGAGCCCTTGCTTTCAATTTTTTTTGGGTATATACTCAGAACTGAAATTATCAGTTCATCTAGAAATTCTATTTTTAGTTTTCTGAGGAACTGCCATTATGTTTTCCATGGTGGTGGCACCATGTTACGTTCCTACCAGCAGTGCCCAAGGGTTCCAGATTCCGCCCCCCGTCCTTGCCTCTCAGTCTGTTTTTTGTAGTCATTATAATGGGTGTGAGGCAGACGGGGTGGTGTTTTAAGGCACTACATTTGTGGTAGTTTGTTATACAACAATAGAAAATGAACTTTAGTCCTGAAGGACATTTTTTTTAGATTCTGGTTTCTGGGTGGAGGGTCCTTTCCCTTCAGTTATGGTGAGATGCTGATCTCCTGTCTTCTGGCCTCTGTTGTCTATTGAAAATCTATGGAAATTCAAGTGGTTGTTCCCCTATATATATTGTCTCATTTTCTCATTTTTTTCCTGCCTTTTTTCAAGCCCTTATTATTATCTTTGGTTTTGAAAAGTTTTATGGTGACGTATCTAGGCACAGTTTTCTCACAGGGTCCCTGTTGTAGATTTTCCAAGCTTTCTGAATCTGTGAATTTGTCTTTCACCAAATTGGGGAAGTTTGCAGCCATTATTACTTCAAATATATTTTTTCCCCAAATCTCTCCTGGGACTTCACTGACCCACACCTTAGACCTTCTTGTTACCACCCAAGGCCCCGAGGCCCTTCCGCCCCCCCTTTGCTTGAGTCCTGGTCCCCTGATTGGTTATCTTCAAGTTCACTGACTTTTCTGTTACTTCCATTCGGCTATTGAGGCCAACCTGTGAATTTTTTATTTCCGATACAGGTTTTTGTTGACTATTTCCATTCAGTGCCTTTTTTTTTAACTTTCTAATTCTTTGTTGAGGACTTATTTCAAGTGTATTCATCTTTACCTCATGGTGTGTACGATGGCTGCTTTTCCTGGTAATTCCAATAGGTAGGTCATCCTGCTACCTACTGGGGGTGGACTGTGGAATTCCCCGGTTCCTGTCTTCTCCAAGGAAAGAATTCAGCGGAGAGAGCCCAGGGAGAGGTGGAGCTCCAGGCGGTTGTCGTTTAGCAAAGCGAAAGGAACGCTCCAGAGGCAGAGGCGCCGAGCCCCAGGCAGGGGGCCACTTGCTGACTTTTACCTTGTGTCTTGTACTGGGGGCATTTGCTTTCCTCCCTCCCGTCTGTCAAAGGCCCACTATCTTGTGGATGTCTCACCCCCCACCTTCAGCCTCTGTGAGGTTTGTGTTGTCATTCTTTCCATGAGCATCAAAGAGGGGTGGGGCCATAAACCGCAATGTAAATGATTTAATAACGGCGCTATGATGGCTTCAGGGTCATCAGTGAAAAGGTCTTCCTTAAGTGCCAAAATCGGAATGTCTCAGTGACCCGTATCTTTGGCTTATCAGTTTGTGCTGCACGGCAAAGGGGGTGCTCTAGGGGAGACAGGGAGGTCGGAGGGTGGGGACTGGGCAGCCTGCCACCTCCCTCTGCCGCTGCTCGTGGCCATCTAACTGTCACTCAAACAATCCCAGGGTTGACCTCTGTTGTCTCTTCCCTAGAGGACTCGTCACATCTTCCTGATTCTTTATATGACTTTCGATTGTGTTTTGGACATTGTGACAAAATTATATAGATTCTCAGTGCTGTTATGACTCACAGGAGGAAGTTGATTTGTTTTGTTTTAGCAGGCAAGCCGCCCAGTTTCAGATCACAAGTTCTGTCTTGCCTTCTGTGAATGAATGGTGTTTCCAGTTTGGGTCCAGTTTTTTTCTCCTCCCCATACCTCCCTTCCTTCCTTGGTGTAATTGACATAACATCATATTAATTTCAGGTGAACAGCATCACTGCATGTTTGTATATATTGCACAATGATCACATAAGTCCAGTTAACATCCATCACCACACATGAACAAAATGGTTGTTTATCTTACGACAAGAACTTTCAAGATCCACTCTCCCACCTACTCTGAAATATGCAGCACAGTTTTAACTATAGTCACCATGCTGTACAATCCATCCTGGGGACTTATCTGTTTATAACTGGAAATTTGTACCTTTTGACCCCTTCACCCATTTCTCCCGTTCCCCACCTCAGGCGACCAATCTGTTCTCTGTATTGATGAGCTTTTTTTAATTTTAAGATTCCACATGTAAGTGAGACAGTAGGATCTTTATCTTTCTCTGACTTATTTCACTCGGGGTAATACCCTCAAGGTCCATCCATGTTGTCACAGATGGCAAGATTTCGTTCTTTTCTATGGTCAAGTAATATTTCATTGTGTGTGTGTGTGTGTGTGTGTGTGCACGTGATTGTGTATATATATATATAGATAAATTTTGCATTTTTTTATCCATTCATCTGTTAGTAGACACTTCAGCTTGTTTCCATGTCTGGGCTATTGTAAATAATGCTGTAATTAACAACAGGGGTGCAGATATCTTTTCAAATTAGTGTTTTCATTTTCTTTGGCTAAATACCCAGAAGTGGAATCATATGGTAGTTCCATCTTTAATTTTTTCAAGAACCTTCATACTGTTTCCATGGTGGTTGCACCAATTTACATGCCCGCCAACAGTATGCAAGGGTTCCCTTTTCTCCACATCCTCAGTCACATTTGTTATATCTTGTCTTTTTGATACTAGCCCTTCTGACAGGTGTGAGGTGATATGTGACTGATTTTCTGTACGGATGGTCTATCTATTGAAATAAACGGTGTATTAAAGTCCCCTATTATTATATTGCTGTTTCCCCCTTTAGTTCTGTCAACATTTACATTAGGTATTCACGTGCCCGCATGGTGGGTGCATAAACATTTGCAAATGTCAGATCCTCTCGTTGGATCATTGTTTTTTCTGTGACGGTCTTGGAGATTTCCTCGATTTTATTCTTAGTGCCGTAAGGGTCGCCATGCATCCTGGCTTCTCTGGGATGCGCTGGGCAGATGCACCTCCCCTGGCCCAGTGTGTGGGGTGCAGGGCCCTGGGGGCGGGACGACCTTCCAGCAGAGCCTAAACCCAGGGCCGTGGGGTGGGTCAAGGTCTGCGTTCCATCGCAGCTCTGCCACGCACTGGCTGTGTGACCACCAGCAGGACATGTCACCTCTCTGAGCCTCAGTTTTCTTGCCGCCTGTGGCACTTTGGGTAGATTCCTCGAGGGCCTGTCTGGAGAGCGCTGAGCACAGGCACACGGGGGTCAGGGTGAGCGTGGTCCCCGTGCCTGTTTCCTCGCGGGGGGGGTGGGGGGCTGGGGGAGGTCATGCGGGTCAGCAGCCTTCTGCGCCTCACGGCCCTGCCATTTCTTCCCAGGAGCGGAAGCGAAGGGGCGCGGCCCTGTGGCCCCCGAGCCCCCCCAGAGCCCCGCGCTGCCGCGGCTGCCGCGCCGCCCGCAGCTCCTGGACCAGGACGGAGGGCCCCGCGCGGAGGTGGCCCCAGATGCGGCCCCTGAAGGCCCCCAGGCCGACCCGCGGGCCTCGGCCTCCGCGGCGCCCCTTGCCCAGGCCGAAGCCGAGGCCGCGGGCGAGGCCAGGCCGGGGCCCAAGGTGGCAGCCGGTGGAGTCCCCGACATCGGCTTTGTGGGCGAGCCCCCGCCCTACGCACCGCCCGACCCCAAGGTTGTGCACCTGCTCTACCCGCCTTTCCCGCAGGGGCCGCTGCTCCTCCAGTCCGCGCCCTCGCCGCAGGCCCTGTACCCCCCGCCCGCGCCCCTGTACCCCGGGCCCGTGCCGCCGCTGCTCGCGCCCTTCCCGGTGGTGAGTGTGCTGCGGTCGCCCAGCGCCGGCCCCGCCCCGCGCCCCACTCCTGCCTGCTTTGGGGAGCTGGGCCCCCAGGTGACCGAAGGCACCATAAGCACCCCCTGCAGAGGGTCTTCCGTGCCCAGAGAAGGGAGAAACCGCCTTTGCCTGGGGAGGAGGCGAGCCTGGAAATCTTCCCAGAAGTGGGGTTGTGTGAGTTGGGTTCTGAGGGATGAATAGGAGAGTTCAGGCAGAGAAGAGAGAAGGTAGGCCCTCTGGGCAGGGGGCCAGCACAGGCGTGGAGGGTGGTCAAGCCTGGTGTGTTCTCAAACGGCAGTGGGGAGGGAAGGCTAGGAAGCTGGGGTCCCCTGTGCGGAGCCCCAGGGCCTTTGGGCAGAAACAAACAACTTGATTAGACTTTTAGAAAAACAAAACAGTGCCCTGGGCTGTCTGTAGGGAAGGACTTAGAGCCTGGTGAGGACGTGCAGCCAGGCTGGACCCCGGACTAGACCAGAACCCAAAGGACTCCTGGGGGCTGGTGACAGGGGCGCTGCAGGGCAGAGGGGGGCCTGGGCCCTCAGTGACCTGCCGCTGGTTGGGTGGGCATGGGGGGTGGATGGCATGACCCTGCCTTGGCCTCTGCCCCCACAGTACAGCAGCCCTGGGGCTGGCGTGCCAGCCCCTGCCACGGTGGAGCACAGGCCCCCGCCCAAGGACTACATGACAGAGTCCATCCTGGTGACCTTCTTCTGCTGCCTGCTCACTGGCATCGTCGCCTTCGTGTACTCCCATGAGGTAAGGGTGTGCAGTGCCCGCTGTCCCAGGCCTGGGGTCCCCCAGCCCCTTTCCCAGCAGCTAGGGCTCCAGAGAGTGGTAGGAATGGGGAGACCAGTCGTCTGTGGGGCCCTTGCCCCTCCTGGATGGCACCCTGCCTCCTCCTGGCTCTGCCCCTGCCACTCGAGATCTGCTCTGGAAGGCTCTGCCTCTGTGGTTGGCAGGGAAGGTGTGGGTGCTTGATAAGGCTCAGGGACTCCTTCTGGGGGTCAGTGTCCCGTGGAGTAGAGAAGTCGTGCATCCATCTGCCCATCTTGTAGCCATCCACCTCTGTCCATCTGTCCCCCGGCCCCCGCCCCTCCATTCTTCCATTCATGAAGTCTCTCATCTGTCTACACCCCTACCCATCCCCAGGCAGGGCTTGGTGCTGGGCTCCCTGGTGCCGGCGTCAGGGTGTGCTGACAGACAGAGCAGGCAGGCCTCTGGCCGCCCGTGTCCAAGGCCGGCCTGGCCCTAGCCCCTTCCCCAGGCCAAGCTCCGCGGCCGCAGGCCCGCCCTGTGCAGGGGGAAGACAGCTCTCAGAGGCGCAGACGTGGGATTCTGGGGGCCACTGCTCGCCTGTGTCTGTGTGGCCCTGGGCAGGTCACTTAACCTCTCTGAGCCTTTGTTCCCTCATCTGCAAAGCGGGAGCAACCACGACCCTAATTTCAGGGGTGTGGTGAGGAGTGCAGGGGATGAGGCGACGGGTGTTGATCCGTGCCAGGCCCACAGCAAGTCCCCAGGGGCCGATGGCAGCCTGGAAGGTCCCCCACCTCTTCGGGGATGTCGGTTCCCAGTCTGTGCACTGGGGCCTCGACCTGGCGGTGCGGGAGGGCGTGGGGTCTCCGTGTCCGCCCAGCCCGCTCTCCTTGCAGACTCGCGCCGCCCTGAGCAGAGGGGACCTGGCCCAGGCTGAGGAGGCCTCCCGCAAGGCCCGCTGGCTCGTGCTCTTCAGCCTGCTGTTCGGGGTCTTCGTGTCCACCAGCTGGGTCATCTACGTGGCAGTGGCACTCCATGTCCCCTGAGACCTGGTGGTGCCTCTGGGGACGCCGGGATGCCAAGGGACACCCAGTCTGGCCAGACTCTTTCTGTGGACCTTGATCACTGCCAGTGGCCATCTGTTGCCTGCAGAGGAGACCCAGGGGCCAGAGAAGGGTGGGGTTTGCGGCCCTCGCACACCTGGGGCCGGGCCTCAGCCTCTACATATGGCCTCGGGCAGTGTCCTAAACTGAGGTGGCCCCCGGGCCAGGCCCAGCTGTGGGATGGGAGCCCCATTTCCTCCGTGCCTCCTCCAGAGGTCTTCCTGGGACCGTGCGGAAGGGGCCCCCATGAACCTGGCCTTCACTGCGCCCCTAGGAGGCCATCAGAGAGGCCGGAGCGCTCACCGTCCTTGGGGCCGTCTGGAAGGACATCAGGAACGTGGCCTCCTCCTGCCTCCAGCCCAGCGGGGTGATGGCAGGCCTGAGGAGCCGCTCTGCCTTCCTCCCTGCAGGGCAGTTGAGGGGGTGGCCTCCTCTCCTCTCCTCAGCAGCTCCTGGCCGGTTGTTCTGCACCCCACCCCTGGGCCCAGGCTCCCCGCATGCTGAGTCAATGTTCAGAATCCAAGGCTGCTTTGTCTGGTCAATAAATGAAAGCAGCGCCTGGGCTGGGCTTCACGTCGCTGTTTCCTGGCTCACTTTCAGGGCGAGCGGCCACATCTGTCCACAGCTGGGCTCGGGGCCTGCCCTCTGGGAGATGCTGTCATGCAGAGCAGCTCTGGCGAGGATCTGTTTGTGCCCACACTGTGCAGCTGCTGCTCCCTAGACCCACTTCTCCCGGGGCTGCTTTGCTAGAAACTTCTCCCCCCTCCACACCGCCTCCTGGCTTCTGCTTACCACCACTTTCTGCCTGTCTTTCAGCTCTCACCTATCCCTGGAGGGTCAGCTGGGTTCCCCCGTGGTGGAGGCCACCCTGGTTGGGATGTGCTGTCTCTCGGGTTGCCCCGAGGCTGCTGCACGCTGTATATTGGTGCCCTTGCACCAGATACCAGGCACCCCTGTCCGGTCACTGTGGTCCTGAGAGTGGCCCTCTGTTTGAACAAGATTCAGAACTTGGGGCAGTGGATGGGGCCCAGGGACTGAGGGCACAGTGGGGCTCTGCAGCCCCATTAGGGGTGTCATCATTGCAGTAGCTCTCTTGGCTTCCCCCAGTCCCCTCTCCCAAGGACAGTCCTTGCCTTCACAGGTTTTCTGGTTTCTCGAGGAACCTGGGTTTTCCCCATGTGTAAAGTGGGGTAACACCCCAGCTGCCTCTGGAGTTGTGAGCGCCAGCATGGTACCTGGCCTGCAGGGGGCGACCAGCCTGTGGGGGGCTGAGGTGGGGTTTTTGCAGGGCCTTCCAGGCCTAAGGCAGTGGGGAGCAGGGAGTCAGGGTCTTCCCAGGAGCTTCAGGGCAGCAGGAATCCCAGCCAGCAGAGAGGGGACTCCATTAACGGTGTTTTTTCCTGTGGAGGAGCCCGAGCTTCCGCCCGATTCTCAAAGGGGTCTGTGATCCGATGAGCAAAAGCCATCCGCTCGTTGCAGATGGAAGAGGCCCCGGCTGAGCCATAAAAGATCAACAGCTCATGTTAAATCAGGGGCTTTCTGTGCACCCCGTGTGCCGCCCACAGTCCTGGCAAGGCGGCTGGAGCACGAGGACAGCCCAGCCCAGCCCAGCCCTGGGGGTGCTCGGGGAGCTGGAGGGACCCGGATGAAGAAGTGAGGAGCGACTGGTTGGAGATCAAGACATGGCCTGTGCCCTAGAGCCCCGGGCTGGTCCCGAATTAGAATATGAAACACTGAACTGCGTAAAAGCCACAGAAAAGGAGGAAGCCATTTTTTAGGGACCAATAGATGCCAAAAAGCATTTGGTAGAACCGGATAGCTACAGCTCTTCTCACTAAAATTATAAGTAAAATCAGGATAGAAAGAATCATCTAGATCCGTGTTCCTTGAATTAAGTATATAAGAGACGCCAGGGAAAGCTCATGAAAACGCAGCTCTGTTTCAGTAAGTAGGACCTGAGATTCTGCATTTCCAGTGAGCTCCCAGTGACGCTGAAGTTGGCACATGAAACCACAGCAAATGGCACATTAGGTGGGAAACGGTTAAGACCATTAAAAGTCATTATAACCGGGATCAAGCCAGGGATGCCCCAGTGTCTTTATTCAGCACGGCTTTGAGGTTCTAGCCAGTGTAAAAATAAATAACAAGGTGAAATTTGCATGAAAACTGGAAGAGACAAAATGATTCCCTAGAATATCTAAAAGTCAATGGAAAAATTAGAACTGATAAGAGAACTCAGGAAAGTGGGTTCAATAGCCACAAACAATAGCCAATAGCAATAATGAAAAGCAGAAAAAAATTTTTAATTACACTTGCAATTATGATAAATTCCTAGATTTTACTGTTTTTAACAAGAAAGATCCAGATGCAAATGAAGAAAAATATTTTTTTAATTAGTAAAAGACAGAAAAAACTGGACAAAATATCTGGATAGGAAGATAAAGTATCATGAAAATATCTAGTCTTTGAGATGTAATGTAATTCCAACAAGAGAACCAAGCTTTTAAAACTATGACAAAAATGTTTTAAAGAATTAATATAAAAGGAAATGTACAAAAATTACTAATTATTTTTTTTAAATTTAATGAGTGGGGCTTCTTTCACCAGACATTAAAACTTGCATAAAGTTGCAATAGTTAAGAGAGAATGGCTTTTTTTCATACACATCAGTGAAAAATGTTATAAAGGCCAGAGAACATTCCAAGTATGTATGGAAAGTTGACATCTGATCAAAATGGCATTTTAGTTGAGGGCTCATAAATTAAAGCAGAGTTGACTCTCTGGTTGGAAACATTAATTTATTGTATGCAAAAATCAATTCTAGATGGATTAAAGAGCTAAGTGTAAAATCAAGCTCATTAATAACTGCAGAAAGTGTAGGAGAATATTTGCATAACTTCAGGGTGTGGGGCAGTAAAGAAAGGGAAGTCTGTAAACATCTGGAAAAACATGGAAAGATGGAGAGATTTGAGTTCTATTTCTGAGGAAAGTACAGATTTAAGCCATGAGATGACTTTCACTTACCAGATTGAATGCATCCGGAGCTGGGGGTGGTACTCAGCACATTCCCTCCCATGAAGTACTGCTGGGTGTGTATTACTCGGTCCTTATGGAAAGTAGATTGATAGCATTGATCATGTATGTACCACATATTTACATGCATGTAAGTGGAAAGAAAGCACAGAGTCTTACGAGTGGGATGTATTCCAAACTGCTGGCCATGGCTACCTTTAGGCAGGGAATGGGTCTAGGAGGACTTACGCAAATACATTGCTTGAGCTTTAAAACACAGATGTACTTGTGTGTTGTGTATCAAAAAATAACTGAAAAAAAAATGTGTGTGCTTTTGCCCCAGTGATTCTAGTTTTAGTATTCACAGTAGTGAAAAATCAGTCTGTTTTCCTGAAGCTTCCAGTCCGATGGGGGCGACAGACACTTATCAGATGGAATAGTTGCCAACTGTGCTGATGGGCCAGGAAGGAGAAGAAGCTCACGGCCAGTTGGAAATGTTGGGTGTAACTGAGGGAAAACTGATTAAATCAGGGTGTCCCCTTATTCCAGAGATGTTAGAATACATGCTTTAGAATCACTCTAATGTGACACAGGGGTTTTTGACCCGAGAAAGTGGTAAAGAAAGGCTTTCCTGAGCAAGTTGTGAATAGGTTACCATTGAGATCCAAGAGAGGTTCTGAAGTCCGTCCCAAAGCGGTATTGTTCTGGATTCCCACAGCTGCTCCCATACTCACCAACCCACGGCATTTGTCAGTCATTTAAAGCTGTCTTCTATTTCCCTGTGGCTTATTTGCATTTTTCTGCTGACTAATGATGTTGAGCCTTGTATATGTGTCTGTTATTTGAGGCTCTGTCTGTATTATATGCCTGTGCAAGTTCTGTGCCCATTTTAGTGCTCATTGTCTTTTTCTGATCAATGTAGAGTTCTTTATTCTAGACGAGAGTCCTGTGTTAAACAGGTATTGCAAATATCCTTTCCCACGTTGGAGCTTCCCTTTTCACTCTTATTGGTGTCATCTAATGAAAAGGAGTTCTCAATTTTAATACATTCAAATTTATCTTTTCTGGATTTTTTGGATTCAAGACGGCGGAATAGCAAGGCAAGACAGAAACCTCCTCCCAAAAACACATTAAAGAGGAAAATAAAGCAAATGCAACTAGACCTGAAAACAACCTGAAGACTGCAGAGCAGACCCCCCACACCTGAGGAGGAAGGGGGGCCACACGGGAGGGGCCAGAAAGCTCAGCAGAGACATAGAATACAGTGGGAGAAGCACAGACTCCCTGACAGGATGAGCAGGCGGAGGAATTCGATCCAAACAACATTACAAGACAGAACCCCAGAAAGAGGGCTAAATGAAACAGAAACCACCAGTCTTCTTGATAAATATTTAAAAATAAAAGTCATAAACATGCTCACAGATTTACAGAAAAGTATTCAATATTTCAGGGAGGACATCAACAAAGAGATAGAAAACCTGAAAAAGAGTCACTAAGAGATGAAGACACAAAATCTGAAATGAAACATACAATGGAGGGATTTAAAAATAGATTAGCTCATGTAGAGGAGATGGTAAATGATATAGAAATTAGAGAACAGGAAAAAAAGATGAGGAACAGAGAAAAAAGGATCTCTAGGAATGAAAGAATGATAAGAGAGCTGTGGGACCAATCCAAACATGATAACAGAAGGAGAAGAGAAAGACGAGGACAGAAAGTATCTTTAAGGAAATAATTGTTGAAAACTTCCCCAATCTGAGGAAGGAAATAGACATTCTGATCATGGAAGCACAGAGATCCCCTAACAAAAGAAACCTCAGGAAGACAACACCAAGACATGTAATAATTAAAATGGCAAAGATCAAGGATAAGAACAGTGTTGAAAGCAGCCAGGGAGAGAAAATAGACCACATACAAAGGAAAGCCCATCAGGCTATCAGAAGATTTCTCAACAGAAACTTTCATTTAAATTTGAAGCAGGTATTAAACAATTTCCAGATGAACAAGAGTTGAAGGAACTCATCACCACTAAGCCAGTCTTACATGATATGTTAAATAGATGCAGATGGAAATGACCCTCAGGCTAAATAGCTTTCACAGTGAAAACACACCACAGTACAGGTAGTAGACCAACTAATTACCAAGCAAGTATGAAATTCAAACAAAAGCAGAATCAACTATACACAAAACCAGTCAAGGTACATGCAAAAAGTGCTGATTCTGACATCTAATATGACATATTCTAATAATATGAAAAATGTGGAGGAGGAAGAAAAAGGAAAAAAAAGTACCTTTAGATTGTGTTTGAAATACCATAATCTGCAATTTAAGGTAGACTATTATACAGTAAAGAAGCTATCCTTGAACCTTTGGTAACCACAAAACTAAAGCCTACAATAAATACACAAAAATAAATTAATTAAAAAATAGAAATACAATTACAACATTAAAGAAAACCATCAATAGCAAGAGACGAGTACAAGAGAGGCAGAAAGGGACAGAGAGGAGATATTAAAAGCAGCCAGAAAACAGTTAATAAAATGGCAATAAGTACATATCTATCAATTATCACCTAAATGTAAAGGGACTGAATTCACCAATCAAAAGACATAGAGCGGCAGAATGGATAAGGAAACAAGACCCTCTATATTCTGCCTACAAGAGACTCACTTCCAACCTAAAGACATAAACATCCTAAAGTAAAGGGATGGAAAAAGATATTACATGCAAATCATGGAGAAAAAAGCAGGAGTAGCAATACATATATTAGACAAAATTGATTTCACAACAAAGAAAGTAACAAGAGACAAAGAAGGATGTTACATGATGATAAAGAGGTCAGACAAGGGGATATAATAATTATAAGTATATATGCAACCAAAATAGGAGCACCTAATTATATAAAACAAATACTAACAGAATTAAGGAAGAAATAGATTGCAAGATATTCATTTTAGGAGACTTTATAACACACCACTCACATCAATAGATCAACCAGACAGAAAATAAATAAGGAAACAGAGNGCAGAATGGATAAGGAAACAAGACCCTCTATATTCTGCCTACAAGAGACTCACTTCCAACCTAAAGACATAAACATCCTAAAGTAAAGGGATGGAAAAAGATATTACATGCAAATCATGGAGAAAAAAGCAGGAGTAGCAATACATATATTAGACAAAATTGATTTCACAACAAAGAAAGTAACAAGAGACAAAGAAGGATGTTACATGATGATAAAGAGGTCAGACCAACAAGGGGATATAATAATTATAAGTATGTATGCAACCAAAATAGGAGCACCTAATTATATAAAACAAATACTAACAGAATTAAGGAAGAAATAGATTGCAAGATATTCATTTTAGGAGACTTTATAACACACCACTCACATCAATAGATCAACCAGACAGAAAATAAATAAGGAAACAGAGGTACTGAACAATACATTAGATCAAATGGACTTAATAGATATCTAAAGAACACTCCATCTAAAAGCAGCAGGATACACATTTTTCTCAATTGTACACAACAGCCCAAAATCTGCGGGATGTGGCAAAGGCAGTTCTAAGAGGAAAGTACACAGCAGTACAGGCATACCTCAAAAAGAAGAACAATCCTGAATAAACTGTCTTAAATCACAGTTAAAGAAACTAGAAAAAGAAGAACAAATGCAACCCAAAGTCTGTAGAAGGAGGGACATAATAAAGATCAGAGCAGAAATAAAATAGAGAAGAATAAGACAACAGAAAAAAATCAATGAAACCAGGAGCTGGTTCTTTGAGAAAATAAACAAAATAGATAAACCTCTAGCCAGACTTATTCAAGAAAAAAAAGAGTCTACACACATAAACAGAATCAGAAATGAGAAAGGAATTATCACAATGGATACAACAGAAATACAAAGAATTATTAGATAATACTATGAAAAATTATATGCCAATAAATTGGACAACTTAGAAGAAGTGGAAAAATTCCTAGAAAAATACAACCTTCCAAGACTGACCCAGAAAGAAACATAAAATATGAACAGAACCATTACCAGCAATGAAATCAAACTGGTAATCAAAAAGCTTCCCCAAAGCAAAATGCAAGACCCAGACAGCTTCACAGCCAAATTCTACCAAACATTTAAAGAAGAGCTAATACCCATCTTTCTTAAATAATTCCAAAAAGTAGAAGAGAATACTTCCAAATGCATTCTATGAGGCCAGCATCGCTCTAATACCAAAACTAAAGACACCACAAAAAGAGAAAATTATAGACTAATATCCCTGATGAACATAGATACAAAAATCCTCAAAAAAATATTAGCAAAATGAATCCAAAAATACATCAAAAAGATTATTCATCATGACTTATTCCAGGGATGCAAGGATGATACAATATTCACAAATCAATCAAATCATACACCACATTAACAGACAGACAGATAAAAACCACATGATCATCTCAATAGATGCCAAAAAAGCATTTGACAAAATTCAACATCCATTCATGATAAAAACTCTCAATAAAATGGGTATGGAGGGGAAGTACCTCAACATAATAGAGGCCATATATGACAAACAGATACCTTTATAAAGCTGAAAGCTTTTCCTCTAAGATTGGGGAACAACACAAGGATGCCCACTCTTACCACTTTTATTCAACATATCACTGGAGGTCCTAGCCACAGCAATCAGACAACACAGATAACAACAGGCATCCAAATTGGTAAAGAAGTTGAGCTCTCACTATCTGCAGATGACATGATGGTGTACATAGAAAACCCTAAAGAATCCATCAAAAAACTAGTAGAATAACTGAATTCAGAAAAGTTTCAGGATACAAAATTAATACACAGAAATCTCTTGCATTCCTATATACTAATGATGAACTAGCAGAAAGAGAAATCAGGAAAACAGCTCCATTCACAGTTGCATCAAAAAAAAAAAAAACCTAGGAATAAACCTAACCAAGGAGGTGAAAGACCTATACTCTGAAAACTACAAAACACTCATGAGAGAAATTAAAGAAGATACCAATAAATGGAACTCTATCCTGTGCTCATGGACAGGAAGAGTTAATATTGTCAAAATGGCCATCCTGCCTAAAGCAATCTACAGAATCAGTGCAATCCCTATCAAAATACCAATAGCATTCTTCAGTGAACTAGAACAAATAGTTCTAAAATTCATATGGAACCACTAAAGACCCAGAATAGCCAAAGCAATCCTGAGAAGGAAGAATAAAGCTGGGGGGATTATGCTCCCAAACTTTGAGCTCTACTACAAAGCCCCAGTAATCAGACAATTTGTTACTGGGACAAGAACAGAACCAT